GCATTAATGCAATTACTTAATCACTCTTGTGAAATGGATTAAATACCAAATTTGTTTGTTCATAATTTGATTTAAAGTGACAATTCTCTGGATATAAAAATTGACTCCTGCTTTTGATTTGATCATTTATTTACTAGTATATTTTCCACATGGATTGCTACAAGAATGGGCAAAGTGTTCAGTTCCAGTAGGGAACTTCACTTTTCAAGAAGCCCAACATTCGCTATAACCAGTACAGTAGGTACTGAGGCGTACTGTGATGACCCCAGAGTTTGCGGACAGTAGGTCCAACATAACTCTGCAACAGAATTTGGAAAGTCTAGAGTTTGTGGACAGTGGGTCCAATCTGCAACAGATCGCGAAATCAATTTATTTTCATTGAGCGCAAACTTTATATTTCAAGTACATAATCTGCTAGATGTAGAGATTGTCCCTTTATCTACATGTAAAGTTTTGTTTACCAAACCTATGGCAAGGTTTTTGCAAACTGAGTACAATAAAAGCACACTACTACAACCTATAAGACTGGTTATGTAAATTTCCAATGCAAATCGATGATCGTACTAGTAGGATGATGGTGGCCCTAAAACACTCGTCTTAAAATCAAGGCTTTTCAATCAAGATTTACAGTACCTAAATCCCCAAGGGCAGCATGTCCAGCCTGCTTGATTGTAATGCTTATTTTATAGCAGACGCTGTGAACTGCATCAAAAATGGACGAGTCAATGTAGGTATAAAAAAGACCGCTGAATATGACCTTGACATTTGAGCGCGACACACCTTGTCATGGCGGTGAACAATTGTTCCAAGTTATTTTATAATCCCCTCAGCCTAATTCTGACCTTTAACCCCTACAATTTGGGACGGATTGTCTTTTGCAAAAGAATCAATAAATAAATAAATAAATAAACCCGCTCAAGCCAGTCCTTACCATGATAGTAAGTGCATGTGCGTGTCCTAGCGTGATTCAAAACAGTTTTTCTTGTATATAAAGTCCAAATTACTTTACTTCCTTCGCTTCTCGTATTCTCGCTGCCGCTACTTGTGGCGTTAATCTGTCAGTGGAATGGTTTCCCGCCTCCATTTTTTTTATAGGATTTAAGTATTAAATATTAAAAATTAAATTTTAAATATTAAGAATTAAATTTTAAATAATAAGTTTTAAGTTTTAAATATCAATTTAATATGTCCCTCCAGGGCTTCCATACATAATACATACATAATATGCAGATAAATATTTAGAAATAAATATGTTGTAACAAGGGAAACCGGACTTAAATGTCATTCGTTTCGTTTTTGTCATAGGTTTTAGTCATATCAACTGCGCACATTTTAACAGTGAACTTGCAGGTTTCATTTTCCCTTTAATACTTGTTATTTACTTTTACTTTTAATATGGTTTATTCATTTGATATTTTTATCCATTTAGATAAACAGCTGTAAAAACAATTGCTGTATAAAGATGATAGAAAATGCATACCTGATATGCAATTAGAACTTTCATGTTTTATATAACATTGTACGTTTCGATGATTGATAAAAACAAGAGGGCCATGATGGCCCTGGATCGCTCACCTGACACAACCGCATCCAAGCAATGTCTTAAACAAGCATCATGGCCAAGTTTGATGACAACTGAGTCAAACATGTGACCTCTAGTGTGTTATAAAGATTTTTCCATATTTGGGCAATGTGACCTAATTTTTGACCGGACATGACCCATATTCAAACTTGACCTAGAAATCATCAAAACAACCTTCCTGACCAATTTCCAGGAAATTTGGATCAAAACTGCAGCCACTAGAGTGTTAAAAAGATTTTTCTATTTTTAGCTCCTGTGACCTAGTTTTTGACCGGACATGACCAATCTTAGCACTTGACCCAGAAATCATCAAAACAACCTTCCTGACAAATTTCCAGAATATTTTAATCAAAACTGCAGCCACAAGAGTGTAAACAAGCTTTTTCTATTTTTAGCTCCTGTGACCTAGTTTTTGACCGAAGATGACCCATCTTCGAACTTGACCCAGAAATCATCAAAACAACCTTCCTGACAAATTTCCAGAATATTTGACTCAATACTGCAGCCACTAGAGTGTTTACAAGCTTTTTCTATTTTTAAGTCCTGTGACCTAGTTTTTGACCGGAGATAACCCATCTTTGAACTTGACCTAGAAATCATCAAAACAACCTTCTTGACAAATTTCCAGAATATTTAGATGAAAAATGCAGCCACTAGAGTGTTAACAAGCTTTTTCTATTTTTAGCTCCTGTGACCTAGTTTTTGACCGGAGATGACCCATCTTCGAACTTGACCTAGATATTATTAAAACAACCTTCCTGACAAATTTCCAGAATATTTGGATGAAAACTGCAGCCTCTAGAGTGTTAACAAGCTTTTTCTATTTTTAGCTCCTGTGACCTAGTTTTTGACCCGAGATAACCCATCTTCGAACTCGATCTGTATTTCATTGAGACAAACATTCTGACAAAGTTTGATGATGATCCAATCAAAACTGTGACTGCTAGACTGTTAACAACCCAATTGTTAGAGTGTTAACAAGCTTTTTCTATTTTTAGCTCCTGTGACCTAGTTTTTGACCGGAGATGACACATCTTCGAACTTGACCTAGATATCATCAAAACAACCTTCCTGACAAATTTCCAGAATATTTGGATGAAAACTGCAGCCTCTAGAGTGTTAACAAGCTTTTTCTATTTTTAGCTCCTGTGACCTAGTTTTTGACCCAAGATAACCCATCTTCCAACTCGATCTGTATTTCATTGAGACAAACATTCTGACAAAGTTTGATGATGATCCAATCAAAATTGTGACTGCTAGACTGTTAACAACCCAATTGTTAGAGTGTTAACAAGCTTTTTCTATTTTTAGCTCCTGTGACCTAGTTTTTGACCAGAGATGACCCATCTTCGAACTTGACCTAGATATCATCAAAACAACCTTCCTGACAAATTTCCAGAATATTTGGATGAAAACTGCAGCCTCTAGAGTGTTAACAATCTTTTTCTATTTTTAGCTCCTGTGACCTAGTTTTTGACCCGAGATAACCCATCTTCGAACTTGACCTAGATATCATCAAAACAACCTTCCTGACAAATTTCCAGAATATTTGGATGAAAACTGCAGCCACTAGAGTGTTAACAAGCTTTTTCTATTTTTAGCTCCTGTGACCTAGTTTTTGACCGGAGATGACCCATCTTCGAACTTGACCTAGATATTATTAAAACAACCTTCCTGACAAATTTCCAGAATATTTGGATGAAAACTGCAGCCTCTAGAGTGTTAACAAGCTTTTTCTATTTTTAGCTCCTGTGACCTAGTTTTTGACCCGAGATAACCCATCTTCGAACTATACCTAGATATCATCAAAACAACCTTCCTGACAAATTTCCAGAATATTTGGATGAAAACTGCAGCCACTAGAGTGTTAACAAGCTTTTTCTATTTTTAGCTCCTGTGACCTAGTTTCTGACCGGAGATGACCCATCTTCGAACTTGACCTAGATATTATTAAAACAACCTTCCTGACAAATTTCCAGAATATTTGGATGAAAACTGCAGCCTCTAGAGTGTTAACAAGCTTTTTCTATTTTTAGCTCCTGTGACCTAGTTTTTGACCCGAGATAACCCATCTTCGAACTCGATCTGTATTTCATTGAGACAAACATTCTGACAAAGTTTGATGATGATCCAATCAAAACTGTGACTGCTAGACTGTTAACAACCCAATTGTTAGAGTGTTAACAAGCTTTTTCTATTTTTAGCTCCTGTGACCTAGTTTTTGACCGGAGATGACACATCTTCGAACTTGACCTAGATATCATCAAAACAACCTTCCTGACAAATTTCCAGAATATTTGGATGAAAACTGCAGCCTCTAGAGTGTTAACAAGCTTTTTCTATTTTTAGCTCCTGTGACCTAGTTTTTGACCCGAGATAACCCATCTTCGAACTCGATCTGTATTTCATTGAGACAAACATTCTGACAAAGTTTGATGATGATCCAATCAAAACTGTGACTGCTAGACTGTTAACAACCCAATTGTTAGAGTGTTAACAAGCTTTTTCTATTTTTAGCTCCTGTGACCTAGTTTTTGACCACCTTCGAACTTGACCTAGATATCATCAAAACAACCTTCCTGACAAATTTCCAGAATATTTGGATGAAAACTGCAGCCTCTAGAGTGTTAACAAGCTTTTTCTATTTTTAGCTCCTGTGACCTAGTTTTTGACCCGAGATAACCCATCTTCGAACTCGATCTGTATTTCATTGAGACAAACATTCCGACAAAGTTTGATGATGATCCAATCAAAACTGTGACTGCTAGACTGTTAACAACCCAATTGTTGACGACGAACGACGCACAACGCACGACGCACGACGACGGACGCCGGACATAACCCCATCACTATATCTCACCATGACCACTTCGTGGTCAGGTGAGCTAAAAATAAAAATGAGCCGATTAGTATAATTGATGTTAAACTTTATGGCACGAATATAGCTTTTATAAATTCTTAAAAGCAAAACAAAGTTGAAAATAACGCAGGCATGTAAACTTTCGCTACATGACAGTCTTTTTTTGCGTTCTTTTTCTAACAATGTATTTTTATAGCTTAGTACTGAAAAAGTTATTGTACATTTGTCTAAATAACAATAACTCGAGAACTTGGTCTTTGAATGTTCATTATATCTACAGAAAAGTATATTTTTAAGGTTCTAAGAACTGTTCACATTGTCGGTTAACGCAATTAATCATTTTCTCATGGATAAATTGATTGCCAAATGTGTAACTTGTTCTTGATCTTTTTAAGAGAAAAAACAAAATCTTATCTTGCCAAATCGTCTGCAAGTTCATGTGTGCAAAACGAAACCGAAACAATGTTAGCCCAGATTCCCATATAACTAAGCAACACTTGTCATAAATAAATCCACTTCATATTACAACGTAGTTTTGTGAAACTACGAAGCAGAAATTCCCATGTTACCAATACATACATTTTTCGAAATTAAAAGTTGATCTAAGCAGATATCTATTTAGACATAAATGCGTTGTAACAAGGGAAACCGGGTTTTAATATCATCTTGTTTGGTTATTGCCACTGGTTGAAGTAGCTGATCACAGCCTCAATACTTTAGCAGCAAAAGCTTAGGGAATATTACAAGGTATTCTTTTATTTTCCTTTAAAAAATTTAAATTGCTAGTTTTAATTACATACCCTTAGTTTTCTGTAATTATTTACTGTAACTCGTTGTTCATATGATTCATTGAATTATCTATGTCGGATTGTTTTCATCTCTATCTAAAAAGCCATTTGAAAATATTCACAGCATAATAATAAAAAATAAAATCATATTAGAATTGTAATACGCAATTGTTTATGTTAAACTGCTGTCATCAGTAAAGTACAAGTTTGCTTCTTTAAAAAGAAGCATGCGAGAGGTCTTTTTGCTGCTGTGGAAAATTTGTTTCATTCGAAAATATTTGGGGATAATTTTGCATAAAAGACACAAGGAATGCTTATAAATTACAATTATTTAACAAAATAGAATTTATTATATATATTGAATATAGTATCATAATGAAAGTTTGTTTTACACTTCATTTTTTTAAAAATGTTTTGATTGATTATATGCCGGAGAAATGGACTTTTTTCTTGGCACATTAGGGATACTTTTTCTAAAAGGGAACAATCTATGTTATGTCATCAAACTAAATTTAAAATAAATGATATACACATGTATATATCTCATATATATTTAGCTCCATGTATATATATATTGAAAGCAGTATCACAATAAAAGTTTAGAACTTAAAAAATTCAATAAGCACATTTTCGGTTAATGTTTTGGTAAGTATATGGAAACATTTCCTCTACATTTTCCAAAACGCATAAAGTTTGTTAATCAAACAATTTTAAGTCCAAAATTCACATAAAAATGTTTATATCATTTGATTAGAATAAACAGTATATAAAGCTGCATGCCTTCAATCACAATATTTGAGGAAAATCTTGAGTAAAATTTGTGCCACTTGCGCCAAAATATTATTTAGTAATACCGGTTCAAATGTTTAAGGAGCAGTAAAAGTTCGGTACACAGGTCACCCGGTCATATAATAGTGCATGGTGATATTGTACCTGTAAAATTCACTGTTACTATTTATCGGAACATGAAATAGTAAAAACGCTATTCAGAAAACAATACAGTAATCGATTTATACAATTTAAAAGATTAAAACGGAATGAAACATCCACGTAGCGCTAAGTAACATAAATAATATTTTCCGTTTTTTCTTTGTACCGATTTGTTCACTTCGATGTTATTTTTTCGTTTAAGTTAAGTCGTATTTTGAAACGGAGCATGCGCAAAACAATTTTTGTAGACTGCTCCTAATGATTCTAATGACTTTACGCTTTAAATGAGATTCCTTCACTATAATCAGATACGCAAAAATGGATGCCGCCAGCAATCAGTCTGAACACTGTGGAGAGGTCTGATGACCTCCCCAATAAGATGCATTACCCTACTATGTGTTTAACATACGTCCTATGGTGATAAAATAAACTGCCCGAATATTAACCTGCTAGATTGTCAGTTGTCCACTGATTGCCAAATGGTAAATATTGAGTGAAATCTCTATACAACTGCAATAATTTGTATAAAATTTGTTTTTCACAGCGGCAGAATATATGCTGAACTGTGATGCATAATTTATTCGATGATTGTAAACAATTTTTTTTAACATAATTCTGCTATTATCTGATAATCTAACCTCACATATATTAATCGTGTTGTTCCTAAAAAAAAAAAAAAACCTTGCCAAATCGTCTGCAATCATTGTCGATTTTTCCTGTGTGCAGAAAACGAAACCGAAACCAAAATTCTTATCCAGGATTACCGTATAACTAAGCAACACTTGTTAAAAATAAAACCACCTGAGGCTTTTTTCATATTACTGCGTAGTTTTGTTTAACAATAATATTAAATCTTAAATAATACGAAGCAGAAATTCCCATATTACTACGCCTCTAGAAATATATCTGATGAGATCAACTTTTAATATATCTGTAGAAGAATTCCGGCTGGTCTCCCGCATTTCTATACAATATATATCATTACGCAATAATTGCCTAAATATATCTCCCATTGCACAATCGTTTTACATATGCAAACACACAACTCGATCTATTTATATCAAACATAATAGCCAGCGTGAGTCAAAATACAAGGGGTGACATTTCAGCTTCATTTTTTTTCATTTTATATTCATAATTTCATGATTTTGAGTTCAAAAATTCACAAAATAAGCATACTGAATTCATTTATTTGTAATTTAAACTTTACGAATTCGCATTTTCTTAATTTCTGGAATCCATGTTTTTAACTTAACGTATTCACGATCTCGAAGTACACTTTGTAATGAACTTCACGTTTTAAACTTCCCGATTTCAACCGCGTAAATTCAAGTTTTGAACTTCACGATTTCAACTTTCAATTTCATAACACGTTTCCACCTTTACGAATTGATGATTGTGAAATTCTTGTTTCAATCTTCACGATTTTATCTTTGTGAATTGATGAATCCCACTTCGTGAATTCAAGATTTCAACTTCATGAATTCAAGATTTTAACAATATGAACTTATTATTCTCGGCCATGTGACGCTTTTGTTTTATTTATGGCGTCTTTGTAGATTATGCTAGCATTATGTATTGTTGTTTGAATCTTTTTATGCGAGCACTTTTTCAAATAGCGACACATTTGCATTGCTGAAATACGTTCCCATTGGTGATTAAATTGTACTTTTTGTGTAAAAGCTTTTTTTAAAATAAAGTACAACTAGAGAAGAAAATTAGGTTTTAACGATTTGTGCAGAGGGTTTGAACAAATTTATAATCAGGTCAATCTATCAAAATAAGCTAACCGCTTTTTCATGAACTATGTTCCAAATTTTTATTTATACAACATATGATGCACATGATACAATATCTTGAATATGTGATACGAAATAATCCCTTAAGAACGAAAAAAAAAAACCCGAAAAAATTGAAAATGTTGCAGGCTCGGTTTGATAGAACCTGTTCATGGACGCTAATGGAATGTGCAAGTTACCGTCCACGTCCACTAGCACCGGCTTAAGCAATTTTCAACATTTAACATGAACTGGTAAAGTTTGGAATTTTGAAACATCCGCAGATGTGTTCATATGGGGGTTATCATGGAACCTTCAATGCGACACGTTAGTGCCATTCCATGAAAAGCGGTCCCCAAATTTAAAAAATGCGTTTGCCTTAAACGAGAAAACAATAAGCGGAACTAAATTAATGCAATTTTGAAAATAGAGGTTATTTAGGCTACATATCACAGATAATACGTCAAAAGACATATCCTAAGGGTGATTCGACTTTTATTTTTTACATCCAATACATACATTTTTCTAATTTAAAAGATGATCTTAGCAGATATATATTTAGACATAAATGCTATGTAACAAGGGAAACCGGGTTTAAATGTTATTTTGTTTTGTTATTGCCATTGGTTGCAATCGTTTGAACCACGTAGCTGATCACACCCTCAGTTATATTTATCAGCGAAAGCTAAGGGAATATTTCAAGGTATTCTTTTATATTCTTATAAAAATTAAAATTGCAGGTTTTAATTGCATACCCTAAATTTCCTGTAATTATTTACTGAAACTCGTTTTTTTCCATTTGATTTATTGAAGTATTTATGTTGGATTTTTGTCATTTCTCTAAAAATGTAATTTGAAAATATTTACAGCGTAATTGGTATATAAAATGATAGAAGAATTGTAATAGGCACTTTTAGCTGAAACTGCTGTCATCAGTACGGTTGGATGCATAACCTTACCATGCCGCAATCTTGTTTAGTTTAATATACGAGTACATGCGTCCTATGGTAATAAAATGAACTGCTTGAATATTTACCTGCTAGAGTCAAATTTTAAAATTAGGGGTGTGGGCGAGGAAAGAGAAGAGGCCGTGTAGGTTGGTCGGTCGGTAAGTCTGTTGGTCAATTTTATGATTTTCGGGTGATAACTTGGGTTAGCAATTAGTAATTGTGATCAAACTATACATTCAGTTTAGCAAGCTGATGTAAAGACCACGCTTGGGATTGTAATGCCCCCCCCCCCCCACTAGGGTAAAGGTCGCTGTTACCAAAATACAAAACTCGTTTTTCGTCGGTAACAAGAGATACGAATGAGATATTTCCATTAAAGAAGTACCATTTAGCTATCAAAATATTTTTGTATGTCAATAGAAATATATTTAAGCAGCATGAATCACTGATAATAAGTTTAAACAAGGAAGTAACTTTAAAATCATAAAAGATGGAGTTACATTTGGTTTGTTTTGCAGCGCAATCACTCTTGTTGTTATCTCTAAAATTTCTCCTATACTTTATTAGTTATTCTCTGGACAACGAAAATATAGACTATGTTAAACTTTGTGACCATGACCTTTGTGGCAGCGGCATTTGTGTTGTGCATGACCTATTGTCGTCATATTTCAAAATCCATTTTCAAATGGAAAAGTCAGGGATATGACACAATGAAGGACCTATAACAGATCTTTTTAAGCTTTGACCTATAAATATACCCTTGACCTTGATATATTTTTGGTGTCATGTATGCAAAACTATTTCAAATTCCTCTCACGGATGAAAAAGTTATAGACCGAGCAAAAAGTATACCCTCCATCTGACAATGTTGACCTTTGATAATCGAGTATGACCTTGACCTTCGTGTTTGCGGTCTGGTCATTTGCATAACGTGTCGTCTTATTATGGTGAATATTTGTGCCAAGTTATTAGACAAAATCCCTTGATGAATGACTGAGTTATGGACAGGAACCGATGTATGACGGATAGACCGAGAGATAAACATTCATATAGACGGACAGTGTCCTTACTTATATCCCCTTTTTTCTTCGAAAAGGCGTGGTTAGATAACAAAGAAAAAATGGTTGAAAAAATGACATGCTTAATTGATACAAATATATTGAATTATTTACATGTAAATCTGACACTTACTATAACATTTCTTATGGTGGCTAATTTGTGCCATTCGTGTTGTCTCCCCGCGACCCCGCCAAGCGAAAAGTCGAGAATTAACAAGTTAAAATGGCAGGGGCACGGGGCGAAAACAAGCTAATTAGCGCAGGCGCCTGGCGAAGGTTGATAAATAAAACTTCGCCCCGCGGGGGCGCAAAGCGAGATTTAAGAAATAAAAAGGCGGGGGCGCGAAGCGAAAACACGAAATTGGATTGGAAATCCCATATTATTACGCAGTACTATATTTGCATTAAGATATATCTAATAAGATCAATTTAAGGTATATATGTGGTAGAATTCCGCTAGGTTTTCCTCTTTACAAGTTAGCAACGCAATATTTATCTAAAATATAACATATTAGATCAACTTTAAAATATATTGATGTCATTGTCATGCAATATTTGTCAAGCAAATAAATGAATAATAGCTAAATAGTATAATGCCATAAACATGCCATGAATTATATGGGGTATATGCCCACAAGATGACAATTTTGAAAGTATTCAAAAAGCAAGCCGCAATATTTATTATCACAGAGGGATCACATTTTTTTATAAGCATTTGTAAAATCAAATCAAGTTAATTTTTTTTACCAAAGTATTTCATTGTCATGAATATTTCATTCTTTTTAAATAAAGATTTTAACATAAAGAATTCATGAATTTACGAAATCATCTTTATATTTTTTTCATGATTGCGAATTACGATTTCATTAATTCAACTTTGGGAATTCGCGATTTCACTTTCATAAATTCAATTTCTTGAATTCACATTTTCAACATCACGATTTCAACTCCACTAGCACATGATTCAAACTTCACCGTTTCAACTTCAATTATTCTTTTTTTGTAAGTCAAAGATATCAATATCTTTAAATGAATTTATTAAAAAATCTATGCGTAGACGTCAAAGCATACTCAATATCCATTCGACCTGTTGAATAAGCAAGAAGTATTTTTTAAAAAAAAGATACTCGGCCGAAGTTAAATTGTTAATCATAGCTTGCATAACAATGATGTGATAATTTCTTGTAGGCATATTATAATCTTGAATAATGGAACACTTTAAGATGTATGTGTTTATTAACAAACCTGTCGTGTTTCAGTAAGTGAAGCCATTTTCTAGCACCAACATCTATGCAGTCGGAAGGCAACTATTTTTTATAAATACTTGATTAAATGCAAAAATGTATAAAAAATTTAAACATTATATCAGTTGAATACTTAAATAATCATATAATTTATTAGACACTTATTGAACATTTTAAACTAATGGTACCTGATAAGTTCTGATATAAATCTCATTATTTTGGACACAATTTAAAACTTAGATTTTGTGTAAAATAAACTCAGTAAGTTCTTGCGTAAAAAACTGTTCACTAGAAAATGTAATGAACTTAAAACTTAAATATTTGAGCAATTTAACTAGAGAGTTATCCTGTATATTTTATTTTAGAACTATCGTAGAATGATAAGAACTATCCTTTACAGTTTATTTTAGAATGGCCAATGAGATTTCCAGATTATATTTTGTAATTATATTACATTATTGAAGATAAAATATAGTCGTTGTTAAATCAAAATTGCATAATCATCTTTTTGAATTGTTGCATAATAAATATAACTTGCAAGACCTTTTATAACATTTTCATTTTTACACGATAGTAATATACTCAATTTGCTGCTGCGCAAGTATAATATTTCTAAGCAATATAATTTGAACTTAAATCTGCATATACCGGACAGACTAGTAGAAAATGAAATTCATTTTCAAATACTTCTAAAGAATATGCTTTACAATTCCAATAATTTGAGTTACTCTTTTTGCTGTATGACTTTTTAGTTACTTCTAAATGTGAAAGACCTGAACATAATTGAGCTTAGCAATGCCTGAATTTCCTGATATTTAAAATAGATATATAAGTTTCTTGGTCATAATTGATATTAATACGATTATACAATGACAGACATTCACTAGAATCTAACTTGCTATACCATCCTTGCAAATAATCACTAGAATCTAACTTGCTATACCCTTGCAAATAAAAATTATCTTTAAGTCTTTGACAAAACAAATGGAGAAAAAATATTTCATTTTGAACGCCTTGGTTCAACCAAACTTGCCAAAACCCATGATTACATAAAAGAATTACACTTTGCCCATTTAAAATATTTAGCACATGTTGTACTTGAAAGCATTTTTTAAACAAATTTTGACATATCTGTTATTGGGTAATTTCAATAATTTGAACCGGTACTTTATACAACGCTTAACAGATTCTATATATCACAAGTACAAATGTTGCTGCAATGCAGCAATTGAGAAGCTCCGCGCAAACAATGCGCTCATTACAGATACCTTACCAAATTATTCCTACGCACAGGTCATGTTATATTCTGTACATTTTTTCGGAGGTTTGTAAATCATTTTCTTCATAATACTAATCGTATGCACTGTCAATGAGAGAGGGGCCAGATATTAAATTAAAAAAAAATGTTTTCGCTGATGCCTACCTGGTAATGAAAGTAATTCAAATACAAACAAGACTTACAAGACTTGCGAATGTAATATGACATGACAGTAGTGCAACATTGTTCTGTTTGTGTCACTACTATTGTCAGTAAAATTAGATTATAAAATATATCAAAGCATGTACATTTTCTTTTTCACCTAATATAATGCTACTCATTTTCTACAAACATCAACAACTAATCATAGTAAGAAATATAAAGATCCATTTGTAAATAAGCCAAAACGAAAACTTTCATCGACTTAATTTTTCATAATGTGTCCTTAACATGTTTCGCGGCAAATGATATATAATGGTATTAGAAGAAAAGCATTGATGCAAAGCATCAAAGGGCGTCCAAGCAAGAAATGCAGCAAATGACGATGAACTAGTAGACATCTTATGACCAGATATTTGTATATATTTTTCAATGGTTAATTGGATTTTACTAGAATTGTATATTATAGACAAATTGGCGGACGAAAGATATTGTTCATCATGAACCTTGATAGGCTTGCTAGAGATTAAAATATTAAATGTGATCTTTTGTTAATAAAAAACAGTAGTCAAAATGAACAAAGTCTGTTTTTTATCATTATAATTGTAACAAATATACAAACAGTATATAAAATAGTAACAAAAGTAGAACACACACTCGAATGAATTTCGAAAAGACCAAATTCAGGATTTATTTGTATAGCTCCACGTTAATTGGTGAAACGTTATTTTATCAATATATTGGTAGACTGTTACCTGAATTTTAGGCAGGTATGAGGAAATTCACTAACATCATGTTCGTATAAAAGCTACTTGACATTGGTGACAAATAAAAGCTATTGTTAATTGATTTATTGGGAGACCAATCTACTTTTTTGTTGAATTGCTTCAAAATCCTCATCTGACCCACCAGTGTGTTTACATTCCTATCAATAAACCAAATACCACCTCAAGTTAAAACTGCAGACGGATGTTTCTGTTGTTAAAATGTCACAGTCTTCGGCAACTCAAACCACCATAAGACCGATTGCCTTCAATTTTTATATATTATATATATATAGATTTTTTTCTAAGATGCACAGCTGTTTCAATTGCTAAATGAAAAAAAGATGAGATGACTTCAACATAACAGAATTACACAAATAGAAAGATTTTTTTATTTACGAGTATATTGCAGTGAATCGAATTATCTCAACATGTCTGGCAAAGAGATACAAGTGTTTGTCAAAGGCATTTCAGCAAGTACGTCAAACTTAATCATTGACAAGGTGAGCATATACTTCATGCTTGTGTTAAAATCTTTAAGTGATTAAACATATGACAATCAATGTAAAAGTAAAGTCTACAAGTATTAGCATTTTAAAAAATGCTAGAAATCGCAGTTCAACCGAGTATTCGATTCTTTTTTATCAAACATATTTCTTTAAGAGAAATACCGCGAATACTGAATCTACACTACGATTTCGAGCTTCGTACATCATGGAACGCTAAAAATATTTATATTATATTAACTATTGGCAGTTTTATCTATAATATGTTCCTTTTCGTGTGCAGAACTGAACTGAACTGATGTCCTTGTATCATTGATGATAATAATCTACGATTATAATAAATTCTACATATTTTACAGAATGCCACAGTAGCAGAACTGTTTGAAAAGTTTTCTGAACATATTGGGTTGACTGGAAATTTTGGATTAGTTTATGGAGGTAAAATATATTGTGAATATTTGCGTTAACTTTAAGTACAATAACTGTTATCATTCTAAAAGAATATTTGTAAGGACAATATCTTTCGAATCTTGTTTCATTCCTTTTCATTTTAATAAACAGGAAAAGAACTAAAAGAGGTAGATCCGAATGGAAAGGTGATGCACATTAAAGATTATGGGATAGAAGACGAGTCAACTATTGGTGCTGTAATGCGCTTACCAGGTGGCTCTGAAAATGAAAAAAGGTATGGTCCGAAAGTCAAACTTTCTAGAAAACCCGATATGCTCGGTATCGACGATCAAGCTATTGATATGTCATGTGGACATGCCATAGGTACGTTATATTAAACGAATATGCTTCTTTGTGACGCATTTTGTTTTTAAAGAAATAGTTTGAAATATTGCCCTTATGGTCTTACATAATATTGTTCAGTTCCCCATATTTATAATTTATTTGTACCCCTTACCTTAAAATGGATGTTTCTTTATACATAGGACCCACATCCATGACAAATTATGTTCAAACTGAAGTTGCGGACAAAAAACATACAATTTGTTGTCCAGCTATGGTCGATGATAAGAAAAATGAAACATGCAGGCAGCCATGGGAATTTAAGAAGATTAAAAAAGTTGCACTATTTACAAAAAATGAAAGGACCGATGTTGAAGGGAAGATATCCGACAATTACATACGGTACGCCTTAAAAAGCCAACAGTGTCCGAAATGCAAATCAAACTGCGTGAGGAAAGATAAAAGTAATCCCCGGGTCATTTGTTTATATTGCTCTGCTGCATCGAACGTCCTTTTCGAATTTTGTTGGATATGTCTTCGTGTGTGGAGAACTTCTGGGACAAATACTTGCGGGAACGAAAATTGCGAAAACGTAAGCATAAAATTCCTTCGAGATTGTCCAACGAAAGAAATAGTAGGTGTGAAAAATTGTCCTTCTACTCGAGGTTGTCCACTATGCGGGACATTAATTGAGCACACCAAAGATTGTAAACACATGGATTGCATTGGATGTAAAGGCCAATTTTGTTTTATATGCTTAAAAGTAAGAAAAAATGGAAATTGGCAATGTGGCTCCTATAACACGCCTTGCACGGTCGCTCCTCGGCAAATTGTTCTGCCTTAATGTTAGTAAAAAACAAGACTGATAAATGCTTGATTCTGTTTCATGAAAAGAAGAAGAAACCATCACAAATAATTAACATGTTAAATATTTCAATTTGATATGAGCTTATGCATATGCTTCTACCTTTGTGAAACTATTTAAGATTTTAATCCAAAACACAATGAAATAATGACTTTCACAATGAACATAAAATTACGAAATTGAAAGAAAAAAAGAAAATAAAGTGATGTTTTTTTTGACATTTAAAACTGTATTTTTTTTTTACTTTTTTAAGGGTTTCTTGAGTTAGGAGGGGTTTTCTTATTAAAAGGATTTTTTGAATTTACAGCAAGAAACTGATTCTCCTGGTCCATGTACAAACAACATGTCTCAGGTAATTAGACTACTTTATACTGATTAACGACAAAATGAAATATATGTTCATAAAGAATTGTTTATTCATTGATAAACCATCTTTTATTCTACCAAGAAAACTAGTAAAATTGTATGCATGAAAACAGCATTAATTAGAAACTAATCCACTCTTTATTGTTGATGCTTGACATAAAGCAGTAATTAAGATGCAGACTTATTAGATGACTATAAATAATTAATACCGATTGGGAGAGAAAACAGTTTTGGCTTTTTTATCTTTTGCATATCTTGACAAATGAGATTTTGATAACATTCAGTGTTGTTTTCAGACGTCCACAGATATGCTTGGAAGGTGGAAAGAAAGAGCGAGTCAGTTTTTTAGGGATTTGTTTTTCTGTTGTTACAATATGCATGACTACATCGAATGATTTTGTTTACAATTTTTACGAAAGCAGAATGTTTTGATTTTCCTAAAACACTTTGATAGAAAAAAGAGTTTAAAGTGACATTATGCTCATAGTCAAGTTGAGCTAAATTGACTTTTTATTTCAAATGTTTGACTGTTGAAATGGTGTTGGACCAACAGTTCATTTTGGAAAATGTTTATAATAAAATTCAAAATCTGCCTAAAATATAAAAAGACTGCCCAACTCTTTCTATAAACTAAACGTTTCAGGTAAGTTCTAATTGATATATACAGAAATTCGGTTTCGATCCGGGGTTATTTATTGTTTATATGAAGTAAATTATTAAATTAAAAGAAATTATGGCTATATAAAAACTTATTTTGACTTACACCTGTTCACTCACTGTACATATCTCATTGAATAGGCATAATGTCACTCAAAGTTCAGATGTTTGACAATTCTATATAAGGAAAACCATGAAAATTGAAAAAATCGTTTTATCTATAATTGAAATAAAATATATTTTCTTGTCATTTCTACCATGATACACTTTAGTGATACAGAACAACTAAAGAGGCTTTTTGTCTCTATACCATTGGTGTGTAAACAATATTATATATATTTAACATTATACTCATATATGATAGAAAAATATTAAAAGGTATAATTTTGAAAAAAAAAACAAACACATAATAAAAAGCATCACAATCACAACAATCAGGTTTATTTGTTTATTTACATAGTACACAACATTTATAAAATACAGATATAAAAAGCATGGCCAATCTATCACAGATTTATAGGAGACTATCTTTATACAACTTTAAAAAAATACTTGATAAAATCAAAAATACAAATGATTAAACATTTTTAATTGTTACTGAGTATATTATTTTCTTATTTATATCTTCAAAACTCTAATGATATACATTTTGTATTCCATCCTGACATATATACATTGATAAAATATGACGTTGTAATAAATGATGTGTGAGACAGTAACATTTCTTTACCTTTACTTGTTTAAAAAAAATAAAAAAAATTAGATTACCATTGCTAATCCATACTTTAAGACCTGCCCTAAAATCATGAAGATTAAGATAACTGTTTAAAAAAAAATGACATACACCTATAAAGACCTATATCAACCCTGATCAGACCAGAGATTAACTGATTAGCAATTACTAAATGGTTATCTACATTTAGCTAAATAAATTTCCTTTAAAAAATAATAAAATGATACAACATTTTATGTACATTTTTAAAAGAATTCTACATTTAGATAAAATATATTTAAATAAGCGTAACCTTATTAATGATACAAAGTATCAAAACATGAGAGAAGTATATTATAGCAGGTTTTGGCAGTTAATTTGGCAATTTCGGAATTTGTCATATATCAGTTTTCATATTTGTTATACTTTTATTTTATTCTTGTTGTTGTTTACAATTGTTGATAATTGCTGTACTAGATTTCACGTAACCTTGTGAAAATGATAAATGGTAAGATCCAATCCACGGTTAAGCTTTCTTTATCTGATTGACTTTTGATTTATGTTGTAAATATAATTGCAATTTGTAATGTAGAAATGTAATTTATGTTGATAATTTTGATACAAAACTTTGTGTTTGTATTGTATTTAAAGTTTTGCATGTACGAATAAAGAACGCAAGTAGTTGAATTAGTTACCTGCATTGAAACTGAAGGTCTAATTTCTAAAAGCCCTTTTAATATTCAAATTTTTATCTTAAAAAGTATCTCGTAAATTTTAAATGTAGGCGTCCTTTAAGGCATATAACTGACGTGTATACGTTGTCATTTCTTCAGTTCCCTCTAGTGCCCATTAGGATGGTCATACATTAAATTAATATCAAAATGACTATTGTAATTTTAACACTTATTTTACAGACAATTAGAGTTTATATATACATTGTAGTATAGTATATGCATTGTAGCTATCATTTGCAAGGCTAGACATTTCTTATTGTTTGTATTCCCGTATCTGCGTGCATTAAAATAACATTTGTTTTAATGTATCATATTCTGTTATTTATAATATACAAAAATATGTTAGAAAAAATATTGAAAGGTATTGTTTTGAAGAAAAAAAAAATCAGAAAAACAAATTAAAAATGAATAAATAAAAAGATAAATAAATTAAAAAAAACAACAACAAAAAAACAACAACAACATAAAAGCAAAAAAAAAAAATCAGAAAAAACAAATTAAAAATGAATAAATAAAAAGATAAATAAATTAAAAAAAACAACAAAAAAAAACAAAACAACAACAACATAAAAGCATCTCAATCACAACAATATTTAAGTAAAGCATTTAAATTTATTGGCTCATTTCATATATCATTTTATTTATTTTTTTTTTGGAGAGGGTGGGGGTATTCCTTGTTGTTGCTCATAATTGTTGATAATTATTATACTTGGTTTCACGTAACTTTGCGAAAATTATAGATTGTAAGAGTGTAAGGTGTTGTATTTTTATTCAGTCCACGAAAAATGTTCTTTATATGATCAAAAATATTGCTATGTTGTAAATATAATTGCAATTTGAAATGTAAAATTTATGTTGATAATTTTGATACAGAACTGTTGTAGAAAAACTGCGTTTGTATTTCAAGTTTGGCATGTTATCTTTGAGAGAATGACTTTGTATCATCAGAATGCATTATGCCGACTGTTAACCTGATGTTTTTTTTGTGTTTTTTTGGGCGTTCTATTATTAAGTAATCAAGTTTTCTCTATTTTATGTTTTGAAATGTACAGTTTTCGTTAATACTATCATATTCTGAATTAATATTTACACTTTTTTCTATGCAAGATTTGGTTTGTACTTTATTCCTAATCTGCCAAAGGTATTGTACTCAACACTCATATAAACATGACCTAAAAACATATCAAAACAATAGCAACTAAAAACTTCATAAAGTAGCAAAAAACTATAAAGAGTTTATTAAGGTTGATTTAGAGCAAACTAAAGACATTGGTTTCTGAGTGTGTGTTATTAGCTTTTTTGTTTATAGATATGTATTAAATTACGTAACAACACTTTAAAACTTATCAATGGTAAAATAACCAGAATTACATATACATTCAATAGTTAATGAACATATATGAAGCTGCAAAAAATGATGAGTTTACTGTTTGAAATAAAAACAATGCAGGACATTTTCATGGAAAAATCAACTACTGATATCCAAACATGTTTTATTTATTCAATATGCGAAATAACACGAAATGGCAACTTAACATTGAAATAACTTAAATGCTACAAGAAGGACGGTGTGTCGACAGAAAGCAGCAATAACTATGGTATATACCAAACACTGATCACAATGGTGAAAATCAAATTGATAGTTTTTTTCTGCATTTAGGGTGTATTTCTGTTTGCAAATTGCAAAGTGTTTAGATTTATGAAGTTGACTATTGTTTGTATATAACTTATTTCGTTTATTTGTGCAAGATATTTTGTTTTGATTATTTGTTTTCACCAATTCATTTGTAAGTTTTCCGTGTTTATTAGCTTTAGAATAACATTACTGTAAGACGTTTTATTGTTTCTAACAAAGGTTTAATTAATACGCATAATAAAAACATTCATGTAAATACGGTAAAATACATATATTGATATAAACTTAACATCTTTATGGTAGTTTAGCTAAAGTTTCTCTGGCAGATAGTTTCGTTTCTTAATCAATTTCGCTTGTTTATGATAACGCTACAGAAAATAACACTGATTGCATATTTTTTATTATTCAGTAATTGTTCTTTTTGGTCGACGTAATTTTCCAGTTGATTTTTAGACATTATAGTACATTGGTATTTGAGTGTTACTTTTGTTTTCATACTTTAGCATTTTTTTTGCTTTTCACCGCTTTTCAACATTTAAGATGCTATGTATTAGCCTTTTCTTTGTATTTGTATATTAACAGAAATTTTGAGTTTTTATTTAAAGATATACTATGCTCAAATTTGATATTGGAAATTATTGATAATTGCTACACAGTCTCTTTGTAAATATAAAATAAACATGTGAAGCAGATGTGTAATGTTTAAAACTCTACATACTATAGGTGGTCACAATATGAATATATAGTGTCATTAAGGAGACTGGCAGTTTTTTTTAAAGAAAATGCCAACTTTGCTTGACCGTAATAGGGAAAGCAGCTTCCCATACATTGTTTATTCATTCTTTTATTCAAATTAGACATTCAATAACAATTTTGTAGATTTCAATAAATTTCCATTATTAAAATATTTTACCCGAGGATCGGCATAGTATATCTTTAATTACGGTTTTTCTTTTGTATTTTGTTTGCCATCCCTATTATAACATTGTTATAACATTGTCATAAGATTGTAGCTATTGCACTGTTAAATACCATTTATTCAAATGATTGCATAAATATGCAAATTGTAATCAATCAATTGCATCATTAACCCGATATTGTGACATACTGTCATTATTTCAAGAGGAAAAACAACACCATTTGTCTTTTGCATTATCATTTCTTGGATAAATCACACGAAATTAAGATTATTATTAAATTAAGATAAGAACTTAGATATTTATCGTATCCTAAATATTATACAAACGCAAGTATTTGTTAATCAACTAAAACTGTGAATTACAACTTCGCAAAATATGGGCCTTAGCAGTGTCAAAGTATCATGATAATTATTACATATTTTTTGAGATTTTTTTGGCCATTACTACTCATAAATTTCATAAAAAGAAGATGAAACATAACATTACATACATAATTTTTGAAACAAAATGTCTTTGAATTATAACGAATCCAAGCAAGGTGGTTATCATTTTATGTACTGATTGTTTATCATTTTCAGTGATTCACACATGCTGTATGGCATTCTTAGGTTTTTACACAAGTTTTATCAGTGTCTGTATAGTATTTTACAGTTTCTTTCAACATTCTTTTGTTTTAGAAACAAATTTCAGCTTGTGTGTCAAACATCATCATCATTTCTAACTCTGTTGTGTACATATTTAGATATTTAGAGGAAATTGTAACTTTGATTCATAACTGATTTCTAAATAATATAAGATTTATTGAGTTTAGTTCCAGAGATGTAGATAACAGAGATAAACAACTCCTATATACTCCATTGAAATTTCACTCATGCCTATCAAAAAGTGAAAAATTCGGCATTTTGTAGCAAGTAAAATTTAATGGATGTACATTTGATCCTATTATGTTATACACCATTTAAAGCTAATCCTTTTATCTATTGCTGCATGTTATAATATAGATAACTTTCCATGTCTTTCACTTAGAAAAACAAAGCAGAACATACCCACTGAGCCAGTTTTTCATCATATGAATAGTTTTGTAACAAAAATTTATAAGTATTTTTCTTCAAAAATTGATGTTTCATTTATTAAAATTGGGAAATGTAAATGTTTTTACCTGCAGACATAGACAAATACATAAGCTTTCCGAAAATGATTTAGTTATCTGGTAAAATTTTACATGCTACAGGTTTTAAGTTTAGCACGCACACGTGCTATCTTAATTGGCTAAGAAGTTGCATATCTCTGTTATCTATGTCTCTGTAATTTACGGTTCATGGAGTCAAAGAATAAGATTGTATCATAGAGACAAGATGTTTGAAAGTTTTGTAATTAATGAAAATGGAAAAATAAATCAGTAATGAATCAATACTACTGTTCTTGTTTTAATTTTACCTGAGAAACTTTTACGAAACAATTATTGCATACACCAAAGTTGATATTCGAACAATCAAATATTTCGAGTAATCTCAGAAAAATTGGTAAGTTCGACAAATCAGAGACATAGATGTTATTTATATCTCTGGATAAATACATTTCGAGTGATTCAGTTGCAAAAAAGATCAAAGAAACAAATAAATCAGTTGCATTTTTAACCCCCACCGTATGATTCAAATTCTTTGAAAAGACCTGCTAAAAACCTCAGACTATTATTATGCTGCAAAGTTTTACAAAATGTTGCAGTACCAAGCACAAAGGGCGTCTTTTTCAGGCATAATGGTATTAAATTTTTATCGCTTGTATGTAATTATGATGAAATATATTTCATTCTTTTTAAGTTGCTATTATAAATACAATTTTAAAATCCTAATTTAAGTGAAAGAATACTAATCAACTAAAATTGTGAAACTTATTTCATCTAACAAGACAAGAAATGAAAATGATTTTAACATAAACACTGGCATATATATATCAAAAGTAAAAAATTACTGGCAAATGCAGCAATGTGATTGTCACGGCGAAAAACAAAAAAAAAAAAAAAGAGAAAAAACACCCCCGACAAAAACAAAAAAACCCAACAGTTAAGTATAATGATAAGGTATCTCCAAATAGCATTGCGCTGAAGTATGAAAAATAACATAGGGCAATAATTTAAAAATAAGACACGATTGGTTATCATTCTTATATGCTGCTTTCCTCCTAAATGAGATCTATCCATCTGAAGTTTCAAGTTGTAACCTTGAACACTTTTTGAGATAAGCTCCGGACAAAACGTATAAAACATAACAAAAGGCACTAACTCAAAAATTATAACGGATAGAGTTATCATTCTTGTGCACATCATTCTTTCTTAATAAGATCTATTCACCTATAAAGTTTCATGTTGACATCTCAAAGACTTTTTGAGTTATGCTCCACTCAGGTGAAAAAATAAGTATGAAAAATAACAAAGGGCAATAACTAAAAAATTATGAAGTGTGGAGTTATCACTCTTGCGCACTGCAACCTCCTAAGTAAGATCTATATACCTATAAAGGTTCATGTTGATATCTGAAAGACTTTTGTAGTTATACTTGGGATAAAAAATAAGTATGAAAAATAACAAAAGGCAATTACTAAAAAAATAATGCACGGTTTGTTATTATTCTTATGTGCTGCACTCCTCCTCAATGAGATCTATCCGCCTATAAAGTTTCAAGTTGTTACCTCTAACACTTTTTGAGATATGCTCCGGACAAAAAGTATGAAAAATAACAAATGACAGTAACTAAGAAATTAAAAAGGGTAGAGTTAACATTCTTTCGCACAACATTCCTCCTCACAAAATCTATCCACCTATGAAGTTTATTATTGACATCTCAATTTTTTTTGAAATAATTTATACTCCACTCAGGTGAAAATTAAGTATGAAAAATAACAAAGGGCAATAACTCAAAAAATAGGCAAGGTAGAGTTATCACTGAGTGAGATCTAACCACCTCTGAAGTTTTATGTTGATATCTCAAAGGATTTTTTTAGTTATGCTCTGGACAAAATTAAGTTTGAAAAATAACAAAGGGCAATAACTGAAAAATTATGCAGGGTAGAGTTATCATTCTTGTGCACTGCATTTCTCCTAAATTTGATTTATCCACCTATGAAGTTTCAAGTTGATATCTCTACCTATGAAGTTTCAAGTTGATACTTTTTGAGATATACTCCGGACAAAAATTTGGACGGACTGACGGCAGGAAGGACAGATTGACGGGCGGAGACTAATTCTATACCCCCCTCGCATTTTCGGCGGGGGATAATAAAACTTTTTTCTGCTCATATCTAACATATCTAAAGGAAAATTAGAATTTTGCTCACAATAATGAGACATGAATTCTGAATGAAGTTGGATGTTGTGGTAAAAACTGATTTACGGACCAAATTAAGTTATTGTGCAAACAACCTGGTATGGTGAATGTTTATTGTGAAACGCATATGGAAAACCAAGTCTCAGTTTAGAGAAAAAAAATGTGTTATTGCGCAAGAAAAATGAAATTATTCAAAAAGACAATTAAAGCTTTAAATTGCAAATATAGAAACTTAGAAATGTAATGTTCAAAAGACATTTAACACGTGAAAATTTTTTTACTCCGACATGAGAAAACATAAGTCCAACTTTGTCGTCCTTTACTGTTTTAGCATTTCCATGTTTTGAGGCGAAGAAGCGAAAATACGACATGGCGTAAATCAGCCACCATACATAATCCTTTAACTGGCCATTGTGCTTATACTATCGATATTTGAGAGACCGGTGCGTATACAATGTTAATTTCTCAAGTGTGTCGAAAGGATGTGCGGAAATATGTTAATATAAAACACTGATAGTTCGTGTGTTGATAAAATACTGTTTAGATTCTATATGGTTTTTAAAAAAAACCTGTTTCTATGTAACTTTTCACGGAAATGGGCTGTACAATGATTGCGTAAAAAATCAATAAAATGTCGGCTGTAGAAATCGAAAGGCATTTTGTCACGTGACTAATGCCCATGCTACCGAAAACTACCCATCACAATATCACGGCGGATCAAACATGCTGGAAGAATACACTACCATTATAGAGCCAGGTCAGCCTGGACAACCTTACAATATGACCAGGTGCTTAACTGCTGGCGGTCGAACTAAAATTTCATAATTCATGATAGACAGTTCCGTAAACGGAGCTAGTCAAGTTTATTTAGAAAATTCAACAGATTATGCAACTAAACATTACATTCTAACACTATCGGAAATTTTTCTATATAAACAAAGGAGGTCCGAAGCGTGCATTATTCTACAACAATGCACTCGCCGTTCTTATTATCACCCTGTGTATTTTAACATTGAGGGCGCCATTTGGTTGAAAAATCTGATAAATAAAAACATTTTTGTGTCGACTTTTCTTGTGAAAAATATCTAAAATGAAAGAAAATGTTCTAACTAAGAAAATGAAACCGAACACCAAAATCTTTAATTCAGTCGTTAACGCTGTACAGACGTTTAAACTGTTGTTTACGTTACGTCACAATGTAGCGCCAAACAGCACGTGCAAAACAATCAAATCAAATAAGCTATCTTAATGTCCCAAACGAGTTTAGTATTATATTTATGTCACTTTTAATAATTTGTATTTCGCTTGAAAAAAAAATAGAGTGAAATAAACAAACAAATTTTTATCAACGTTTTCAAAATTCGTTATTCTCAAAATGTTTCTACACACAGCGTTTTTTTTAACCCACTGGAACAGCCTTTAAAGAACGTTTCTATTGGATACTCTGAGGCGAAAACAAATTTAACCACCAAACATAAAGTCCAACTTTATAATAATTATACAATTATATTCTTTCTTGACCTGTGAGAATGGAAATAGATCTAGATATTAATTCTTCGTGCATTATTGTATAATAATGCACGTTTTTCGTTCAAATGCTTTGTAATTAATCACTCAGGCCTATTGGCTATCGTGATTATATTACTACGCTTTTGAACTCAACTCAGAATTGATATCTATTTCCTAAGTAGCATTCATTTTTATAAACACATTAAGAAAAACAGATAATTTTGTATTAGAGATTAATGGTGTTTAAAATGAGGTGAGCTTGTTGCATTCCGCTGTACTAAAATGTAGCTTTGGACAGAAAATTTTGTTTAACAAACCGTTCTATCTATAGTAACAAAACGTAATAACTGAACACCACATCGAGTAACACCAGTTACGCACTGCAAAACTTGAATAAAATGCTAACTTGACGAATGTCTGTTTTATTGTGGCTGATTTAAAAAACTTTTGTACCTCGTGTTGTCGCTAGCGACAGCACGACAAAGCGACGGCGCAATGTCGGACTTTCGTTTTGTCTTCCTGTCTCTAACGATGCACACAAAACGGCGCGTTGTCGTGCGGCGTGTTGTCGCGATGTCACAATGTCGCTTGGCTCAAATCGACGGATTGGCTTATAAGCAAAGCGACAGGGCGACAGAGTGACATCGCGACAACGCGCCACTCGACAACTCTCCGTTTTGCGTGCTTCGCTAGAGACAGGACGACGAGACGACATTGCGACAACGCACCGTTGTGTGCGTTTTGTTAGCGACAAGGCGGCAAGACGAAAAGGGAATAACAGTATAGGTGGTGTTGTCGCTATCGACAGCACGACAAAGCGACGGTTCTTTGTCGGACTTTCATCTTGTTGTCCAGTCGCTAACGAGGCATGCCAAACGGCGCATTGTCGCGTTGTTGTCTTGTCGTTCTGTCTCTAGTAAAGCACACCAAACGGAAACTTGTTGGGTTCGTTCAAGGATATAATATTATAGTCAAGCTGACAAAACCCACGGTGTTAGGCCTTTTTAGTACTTCTAAGACGAAAACCATGTCCGGATTTACCCTCAGGTAATACAGTGAAGCTCACCAAAACCACTGTGATTGGACTTTTAAGTATTTCTAAACCGAAAACCAAGTTATTTTCTAGCCTGAAAGAATACAATGAAGCTCTACATCTAAACCGAAAACCATGTCCGGTTCTTGCCTCTGGAAATTTAGTCAAGCTGACTGAACTGCGGTAATAGACCATTTTAGTATTTCAAAACCGAAAACCAGGTCCATTTCTAAATTCATGTAATACAGTAAAATGCTGACCAAAGGACGTTGATATTCCTTTTTAGTACTTCTAAACCGAAAACAAGTCCGGCTCTAGATTCATGTTATGCAGTCAAGCTTACCAAACTCACGTTGATAGGTTTTTTAGTACCTTAATGTTTAGTTTAAACATATTTTATACCTTTCAATTTTTTACATGATGTACAATGCAAATATATAGAAACAAAATACATTTTGAAAGAAAAGGGGTTGGACCATAAGTTCAAATAACATAAGTAATTCGGTCCGTCCCTAATACGGATATAAAAGATATTGATGAACAATACA